AAAGCACGAATATACTCAGATTCAACTGAAAAAGCATACCTCAATTAATATGAAAACCAAATCGAATAGCACAAATTTCTACCCGCAGCTCAAACCAAAACACGAGCAAATCCACAACCAAACAGAATCTAAAATCAATCCAAATTATAAACAAAAAGAAATTAAAATCACAATTGAAAACTCAAACGAATATCTAAGTACAAATTAGAACGAAATCAGAAAATCCAATAACTTACCTCCAAATCAGCAATAACAAAAATAAACGGACAAAATCAAGAAGAATTGGATCTGCATGTCAAATTTAAACTCCAAGACTGCAAAAATTAAAAACGAAAACATAATCAGCAACTTAATTAATCAAACATGAAATCACCAAAAATCATACTACAATATAATCGAATACCTCAAAAATCGAATATGAATTCACAAGAGAAAATCGAATACCTCAAAATCGAAGATCGCAGATCGCACCAAGCTCCAATCGAATCTCATGCAACACAATATCGCTCCAAAAACCACCAATTCAAACAAGAATGAAGCAATAGAACTCAGCTCACACCAAAAATTAAGCTCAGAAGAATCGAAAAAGAAAGGAGATCTGGAAACAGATTATACAGAGCTTCGTTCGAAGAGGTGAACGAAGATCGCTTCGTTCGAACGACGCTCGTTTGGACTATTCGATCTGCTCGAACAAAAATCACGAGGTTGCCAAACAGTTTTCAGTTATGAGGTCACCAACGTAAATTTCAAAACATTCCTATCCTACCTGGCAAATTTTGGGCTTGTTTCTCAAAATTCAAACCAAAAGGTCAAAACCGTAATCCAACATATATACAGAATCCAAAAATCGACAGCTGTCGATTTTTGGGTATATTTTGGGTGTGTTTATATACCCTAAATAGTTTAGGGTATATTTATAATTTTATGTCTAGTATAGGGTATTTCACTAAATTTCTATAATTTTTATAGTTATATTAATTTCTTATTACTATTCCATGTTGAGTATTTGTTACTGTTCTTAATGCTTTGAATATCTTGCCAATATTTAATTGATTTGATGATCCAAGCGGAGACCGAGAGGAGATGTTTGGTGTTTGCTTCTCGTAACAAATACCATGTCTTGAATGAGTGCCCGAGACGGACTAACATGACTCATGTAGTTTTCTTGCAGGTTCTCATAGAACTTAATGGGTTCTTGATTTTCTAAATCCGTTGCTCGAGAGAGAATGGGTTGTTAATTAAGAATACTTTTGGTTGAGCCCAAGAGGGGATATCGAATGAATTACGAGAAACCAACTGTCAACATGAGTAGCAATTAGGGTTAATTGGCTATAAGAATTAAGTGGAATTGGTTATGGTGAAATCAGATGCTCTAGTGTCTCATCATCTTGATTTTCTATCATTAATTAAATTGCTATTTTTCATAATTGTTTTAGTTTACTTAAATCAATCAATCTACTTAATCAACTGTTCAAATAAACTTTTGAATTAATCATAATTGGTAATTAATAGGAAATTATAGTCTTCGTGGGAACGACACTGTACTTATTTCTATATTACTTGTGCGAATTGTGCACTTGCAATAATTTCACAACAGTGTCAATCTAGTCATAATGTACTCACATTTCCACAAAAGCAGAGGATGTAGTCTTCATATTAATATTCACACAGTAGGCTGTCTCGATAACAACATTTTCATGCTAGGGAAATCATTTGAGAGGCAATAATTTTGGAGCTATTATTTTCTTTCGATTTTTATTTTGAGACATTTTGGAGCTACAATTAGACATATGTTCTAAAAATTAAGATGTTGGCATGAGCCATAATTCAGGGATCCCGGGATCCCAGATTTCCTGGTGTAATTCACGTTACCTAATTAAAATAATTACCTAGTTAGAATTTCTTGTAATTAGCTAATTACTTTTTCTTATAGGAAAAGTCAACTTGTACTTGTATATATATCATCCTCTTGGAGAAATATAATATCAATCACAATTATTCAATCATGTGTTTAGTTTGAGTTGGTATCAAAGCCAGTTAACCCTAGTCTCTCAAACAGCGGCTAAGCTCTTGTCGTTACAAACCTAGTGAAAGGACCCGCCCTGAATTCTCCCTTGGAATCCGTGACGAACACTCTCCCTATCCGACACCAGGCATGTGTTGG